CTTATTTTTTTTCAACTTTCACAATGTGACCTTGAAAACTATCAAAGTGTTTCTAAAACAACCATATTTGTTTGCTTCAGACTCATCCTGTTAAAGTTTGGCTAAACAGTGATTTATAATCTTATGGTTTTCATTCATGCCTCGCCCCAGAATATCTTGCAAGCCTTCCTGTAGTTCGAGACTTCTCTCAACGTTTGAATTGATTCGATTTTTTGCTTCGGGCCTCAACATTCAGGTATTAAACACATATCTCAGATACTCATATATCTCTCGCTGTCAAAACCGCCTGGGTGCAACACTTACTTTTAAATCAGAAACATTGTAATCTGCTGTGACTAGAGCCTGTGAAGGCCCTCTCTCAGTCCGCCACACTTTGACTCCCCTACACAGAGTTTAATCTCTTCAGAAGCACCAACTAAATTGAGCCCACAGGCAAGTCTTTGTGTTGGTGTTGGGGAAACTTCAAAGGTAGTTAAACATCACAGAGGGGTTGCGGAGAGGGCCCTAACCTCTGACAACAGGCCGTTACACAAAGACGCTGTCTAAAGAATGATACAAATCTTAATCAGACTTAACTGCTCACACTGACATGTCACTTGTTGAAAGGCAGAACAGTGGACCTTGACAACCAATGGAGTAGAAAGGAATATGAAGGGAGGAGAAGAATAAGGCCACGTTTACACAGAGACGAAACGGGTTGTATCTTCTACAGTTCTCTATCGTATGGACGGTTCGTCCACACAAGGACGTAACGGAACCGCGGAAACGGAGCCCTCAAACAATAACGGCTCCAAAGGTGGGTAGACTATCCTATCTAGTAGACTATACTATCTATACCAGGGGTCGGCAACAGGCGGACCGCGGTCCGGATCCAGACGCCGACCTATACGGACCCGGACCTATAATCAATACATTAATAGGGGATTTCAATTTTGACGGGGTGATTCTATTTTAACTGCCGCCGACAGGGGGCGAAAGAGACGAGTGAGCGATACAGGGAGAGGAACACAGAAGAAGAGATGAGAGCGCGGCAGAGAGAAGCGGAGAGGAAAGTGAGTGAAGAGAATAATTAGCGATACAGGGAGAGAAGACGGAGAGGAGAGTGAACAGGCGTGTTAGCGGCAGACAGGGAGAGACAAATAATTACACATGGCGCTCTCCAAGAAGAGGAAAGAGGACAGTGAGAACAGAGCTTTTTACCCTGAGTGGACTCATTCATGTTCATCCTGCCCACTGGGAGCTCAGAACCAGCAACGCGGCAACGCTCTCGTGGCTCTGTCATAATGCCGTCTCTTTGGAAACGGATATTATGGGGAAATGTGGAATCTCTCTTGTGGAGAGAGATTACCTTTTTTAAAGAGGCCGACCCTTTAAAAAAAAACTGGTTTAAGCGTGCATAATTTAAGTTGCACTGAGCGCGCCGCAAACAGAAGGGCGACAGGCGGCCGCTAATGCAGTTGTGTTGGTTCTATCTGTCAAATAATCAGCACACGAAGAAGAAAAAAGACGCGGCCAGCCACACGAAGGCGCCATTCCCCAAAATCCCGCCCCCTACACCCTCCACTACACGCCTAAACGCCTCCGTTTGCGGGCGTTCACGCGGAGGGTCCGCGCATATTGAGGCTGTTCCAAACCACGAGTGTGGAGGGCAATGTGGAGGGGGAAGTGGGGCTATCAAGCGCGCTCAAACAGGGCGAGTCTGCAGGCAAGCCCCCCGCGCAGGAAGTGGCGGCGGAGTCTGATGAGAATATTCGTTGTGGCCAAACGTGCCGGTAGCTACACTTCTGTTTTGGTTGCTGGTCGCCGGAAACACTTTTTGCCCAATTGCTTACATTGGGAAAGAGTGGTCTGTACACTCGTTGGATAATTTTTTTTTACTAAATAAACTACCCCAGTATGAACCGTTTGTATAGCCCTTTATTAAAAACAATCGTTATGAACGCGCATCTCACCCCGGGACCGCGCCGCCCGGCACGTTCATGTGAACATGTTTCAGTAGCTACATGAGTTTGTCTTTAGCCCATGGATGCACCCAATAACAACGGACGCATATCGGGCCTTTACCTGCCTCCCACGGATCCTGTAATAATGGATATATTGGCACATGTTTGGCTGAAATTCATCATTTGTAAAATATTAATACTAACATGGGCTGTATGATGTAAACGCTTGTACCTTAATGTTGTATTAAATAAAGTTAATATTACCGCGACCCGTAGATTACGTTCGCTGTAGCCTTCTTTTGGCAGCTTGCAATATCACCATACAAAAA